ATACAAATTTATTAATTTAGAGTTGTAGAGATCGGAACAGGTCTGAACTGGGTCTCAGTGGATTTGAATTAAACCATTGGCAGACTGTGTTCCTTCTGGAAACTCCAGGGAGAACCTCTTTTCTTACCTTTCCTAGCTGTTAGAGGTGACCTGCGTTCCTTGGCTTGTGGCCCTTTTTTCCTTCTTCAAAGCCAGCAAAAAAGCATCTTCATATTTCTGTTTCTGATTTCTAGCCTGTCTCTTCCATATGTAAAAGACCCCTGTGATTACACTGGACACAACCTAATTTAAGGTAGTCTCTTACATTAAAGTCAGCAGATCAGCAACTGTAATTCCCTCTACACAGCTGTCTCACTCCCCTGTGCCATGGAACAGAACATGTTCACAGGTTCCAGGGACTAGGACATACACATGAAAGCGTTGTCACTCTGCCTAGTTCACATGCAATGCAAGAAGCTGAGGTTGATCAGTAAAGAGAAAAACTGTCACGACCCATCAGTCCTTGGTGGAAAAATTAGCCACCAAGAAGGGCTTAGCATCTTTAAAAAATGGGGGAATTAAGGTCTTGAAGATTTTTCCTAAGGTATAATGGGTGTGTTTGGGTTCGTTATTGCCTTATAACCAATTCCCCCAAATCTTGATGTCTTCCAACAACAACGGTATATTACTTCTTAAGATCCTGCAGTTCATTAAATCTGGCTTCACCTGGGCACCTTTACAATGATACATCCATCTGGAGGGTTGGTGAGGCGCAAAGATCCAGGTTGGCCTTCCCCAGTATCAATTCTCATCCTGCACTAGACTGGGACCAACCCTTCCTTACATGGCGGCCTTAGGGCAGCTTTCCAGCAGCAGGCCCATGGAATTGCAGGGCCTCTGGAAGCCTGCTGTCCAGAATTCACAGGACACCTCCTCCAGCACATGCTTCTGGGCCAGCAGTCAACAGGGCTTGCCCCCGAGTTCAAGAGGAAGGGAATTCATTTCCACTCCTGAGGGGGAGGCAGGTGACCGCAGTGGCCTCGTTTCATGTAGCACTAGCTGTAAACAAGGAGTTTCACTCAGAGGATGGGATTTGGAAATCTGATATTTGAGAAGAAAACTGTTTCTGGATGACAGCAACATCAAAACAGGGCCAGAAAGATGAATGGCTCGAGGGGAGTGTGGTGAAGATCACTGGGGCAGAAGAAGCAAAGACATTGCGAGGCGAGGACGTGGGATTTGTCCTGTGGACAGAGGAGGAACACTGAGCTGGTGATGAACAGCGAGGAGAGGCCCGAGGTCCTATAGATGATGGTAATCATGCTGGGGGAGGTACGTGACAAGCAAACCGACAGCCTGCTTCCCTGGACCATGACATCATACTCACACATGTCGAAGGCAGCCTGTGGGCACCAGCATTCCGAGCGGCAGGCACCCCGAACCTCTGCACCAAGCCTTTTCTTGTCCATTGGTCAGTTTTGAGATAAACTTGACCACTTGAGATGGAATGCAGGTAGGGTCTTCAGGTGCATTTTAACTCAGAATTATGTACTGAGCATTTGTTCAGGTATGAAAGGAAGCTCGGGTCAGTTTTGAGTAAGACAAACATGCTGCCTTAGATTACCAGCATTCGTTCTTCACATACTTTCTTTCCCCCCCTCTTTTGTCTCCTCAGGTATCTACAGGCAAAGGGTGTCCACATAGATCCGCAGGATTTATGATGGTGAAATTTATTCACTGTGTTAAATGAATGATATTTATTGCTCTTACTCTAGGTAAATAAAAATCAGGAAGCAGAGTCATTATCCAATGGTCCTAAGAGCTCACTCAACCATGAGAGTGCTAGATATGAATAAATTGGAGTCCATAACAAGTGGAGAAGGATCAAGTGCCCTATTTTTATAATTACTACCATAATTTAATATTTGTGTGTAACAGATGCACAATGATTTACAACAGCGTGAGTGTAGCATGAGTTTGTATCTTTGGCTGTGACTTAGCATTTTTAAAATGCTTTTTAGATTACCTCAGAAAACAATTTATACACCAAATAAAAGATATTTAGTATTGGGAAGTCCAGCATTGTTTCCTGGAAATTTCAGATCTGCAGTTAGTGATCTGGGCTATGAGTATTTTAGTCTGCCCTGCTTTTTTTTTCCGCTCCTACACGTGACCCCCTGTACACAGGGTTCAGCACCTTTGGCATTCACTTTGGTCTTGGACAGATTGCTAGGGATTAGAAGATCCATGGATGTTATTCTCACCTTTGACTCAGAAATTTGTTTTTAGCACATGAAATATGTCTAAAAATAAATGAAGTAATGATACTCTCTGTAACCATACCTTAACGTGAAACTTGAAGGGCTTCTTTCTCAAAGTAGGCTTCTGTAAAACCTACAGAACTATTCCAACAACACTTTGGTGATCGAAATTATTTGGGGGATTCCTTTTTGGGGACTGCTATCAGAGCTAGTTTGCAAAGCAACAGGAAGGCCAATTTCATAGTTCCAGGCCAACAAAAAAATTCCCTTTTTTTAGTATTCATCTCAATTTTTACTAAATCCCAACGTTCTCTATGAGGTTTATTTATCCAAAAAGCATTGAATTCACCATCAGACATTCTACCACTTTGGACATTCCAAATAATAAATGTCAGTTTTCAGAATTATGGGACTCCAAATAAAACTTACTTTACTGATTCCAGCCACCCCATGGTAGCATCACCAGAAACTTGTCCAGGAGCACTAAGAAGTGTTACCAGATTAATTCTGTAATAAAAAAATACCCCATAAAAATATCTTCGCCAACCTTTCCAAGTCGTTATCTCTTGACTTACTGTGTTCTCCTCCCTGCCTGTCACTCTTGCCAAAACTTTTTCTGCCTTCCTTCCTTAGGTGTTTTTGTCCATTAGCTTTCAGCAAGTTACCCTGGAGTTAGTGCCTCTAAAGTCTGTCCTTTTCATAGCTCTTTGTTATAGTTAAATTTATAAGTTTGTATCTAATTCTGGCTTCTCCTTTGACTCAGTTTTACTGCCCTCAGAAGGCATTCCTCTTCAGTATCAGGATTATAATTTTTGAAGTCATCAGTGTGTCAGGTGTACTGCACCAGGAATTTAAAACATCAGTTTACTTAGGTTTCACAATAACCTTATCTTACCAGATAGCTGATTATAATTTCTTCCTATCAGATGAAAAAGCTGAAGGCCAGAAAATAAACAACTAGCCCGAAGTCACATGACTAGACGGTGGGGTAGACAGAGTTCAAACTCGCATCCATCTGAGACAGGGTTTCTCAGCCGTGGCCCCCTGACATTTGGGGTTTAGCAGTTCCTGGTTGTTGGAGGCTGTCCTGTACACTGAAGTATGCTTAGCAACAGCCTCTTTGACCTCTACCCTTTAGAAGCCAGTAGCTTTTTAATCTAACTCTTCTGAATGTGACCACCGAAAATGTCTCCAGAATTGTGCAGGTTCCCTGGAGAGTTTTGAGGAATACTGGTCTAATGCCAGATTCATGCTTTTGCCACATTATACTGTGAGATAGGGAACTAATAAAACCATGGAATTTTAAGGCAAAATGTTAAAGAGATTAGTTTTTTGAGTCATTTACTTGGCTGTTCATCAGAATTAGAAATTTTTTAAGACTCTCCCCACCCAAGATGTGCAGAATAAGCATTGCCAGGTGGGGCACAGGTATTTATCTATTTTAAGCCTCCTTGCTGTATAGAAACCACAGATCAAATCCTAACCTAACCACACATCTGTTCTCTGAATCACTACACTGCGTTCCTGCCAAATTGCTCTCCAGCCTTGGGTTTAACACCTCCGGATGGCGTTACAGTCGGCAGTTCCATACCCTTCGCTTCCTGAAACGCTTCCATCCTCAGATACTCCGAACTGTGAAAAACTGTTCTTCGCAGTATCTTCCTCAGATCTCTCTGTCAATAACCTTACTATCCAAATTATCATTCTTCTCAAATCAGCTGAGTTTAATACTTAACTGAGTCCTAATTATGTGCCAGGCTCTCCTCTGAACAGTTTCTTTATCATGGTCAGTAAAATCAGTATCAACTCTTTATAATCCAACCAATTATCTCAGTTTAATAATAGATTTCCTGAAAAGGAAAATTACAACTCATTAAAATCTTAAAATCTTGCAAAGTTGCTCTCCCATCCAACCGCTATGCACAAGGAGGCTGCCGCTCTGTAGGTGGAAAGTGCTGTCCCCAGGAAGCCCACTGCTGAAGCTTTGCCTCTTCCTCTGCTTTGTGACCTCTCACTCAGGAGCCTTCTTGGTAGCTTCAGGAAGATTCCAAAATGGCTCTTTTTCCTAGTAGAGTAATTCTAATTTACCATATGCTTCAGCTTGTTGAAAATACAGAGGGAGAAGTATTTTTTTAATTTTGCTTTATAGTGCACCCTATTGAGAATATTTTCTTTATTAATTTGGTTAGTATGAATAAATGACGTGAATTTGGTTAATGCGACAGAATTCAGGCTTGGAGTTTACTCTTCTGTAAAATCAAAGAGTCTTTCAGCCTAAGCTTTTGATTCTCTACTAAGTCACTGTAGTAGTTTTAAACTTAGAGAAAACGGCTTCTCAATAACAGACACTGGGTAACTGGAAAACTGCAGTGGGTATACATGCATTGGTGACAAAGGTTACCCTACAGGTGACCAGACTCACTAGCTGGCCAACATGTGTAGCCAGGGAGCTATAAATGTGTGGCAGCGGTCCTGACAGGGCCTGGATGGATCTGCAGTAGGCATGTTTAGAGAAAACCAAGGAGAAAATAACATGTTAACCGGAATAAACTGTTTGAGGTCAGAATAACAGTCTGGTGTTTTTGTTCTTGTGTGAGATATAAAAAGAAAACTTGAGTTTCAGTTAGGCTTAGTACGAATTTCAAACTTCTTTCCTGTGCTTGGCACCTCTAAGGAAAAAGCTAGACAACAGCAGAGCGATTCTGGACCCCTCGCCTCGTGGATTGCTCTGGAAAGCCTCAGTGTGCGTTTCTTTTGCAGAGTTTTATAAATGGACACTGACATGGACTACGAAAGGCCCAACGTCGAGACCATCAAGTGTGTGGTTGTGGGGGACAACGCCGTGGGGAAGACGCGCCTGATCTGTGCCCGCGCCTGCAACACCACGCTGACCCAGTACCAGCTGCTGGCCACCCACGTGCCAACTGTGTGGGCGATTGACCAGTACCGCGTCTGCCAGGAGGTAAGATGCACAGAACTCAGTGGAGGCGGGCAGGAGCCCGGGGAGAGCGGGGAGCCCTCAGGGAGGGAAGGAGAAATAAAAGGAATCAAGTCCACGTGTATACACAGCAGTGCCCCCTTGTCAACATATTTGTCATATATCACAAACATACTCTAATAAAAGCAGAGAGAGAAAGAAGGGCGAGGGTGGGTAAAGCGCATATTCAAAACAAAACAGACCTTTTTGTGCCACAGGAGAGCAAAGCAGAGTGTGGACTAGGGGTGTGGCTGTGGTATCTGGAGTAAGGGTTTGTGTCCTGTGAGTCCAGGAAATGGACCAGGACTTGCCCTCAGTCCCGCTAGGTGGAATAAAGAAATTCAGCTCTGCCGCTGAGGGGCACTGAGGGGTGTTGACTCAGACCTCCTCTTGGGGAACCTCCAGTTAACCGCAAGCGTGGTGCTGTCTCCCCACAGGTCTTGGAGCGCTCCCGGGACGTTGTTGATGAAGTGAGCGTTTCTCTCAGGCTCTGGGATACTTTTGGCGATCATCACAAAGACAGGCGTTTTGCATACGGCAGGTAAAGCAGAACTAATGCAGAGCAGTTGAGTTTGAGGACAGTTTCCTTTTAAGAACTAGCAGATGGCTCACAGATCAACCAAAACTCATATATGGCCTTGAAATGTGTTGTGCTCTGCACTTTTTCTAAGAAAAGGGGGAAAAAAAAGAAGCAGAAAAGGTTATTGTTTCCTGATGTCAAAAATGTTTGCCTTGTCACTAAGGAAGTCCTTGTTCAAAACAACCAGTGCTGGTTACACAGGACAGCTTCTTAGCTGAGGACCCTGCCTTGCCCTCCCGCCTTGGGGTGCTTTGGTTGCTGGTGTTTTACCAGTTATTTTAGCATTGGTTGCTGTACTTCAGAAGGTCTCTTTGGTCTCTTCACGACTGTATTAGCAGAGCCTGATGTTATTTGCTTCAGGCTTTGTGTTATCTGAAAAGTTTCATTTTTATTTGAAGGTCACTTTTAAAAAGGAAGAAAACAATCTTGGAAGTCCTTCACAAAGTGTATTTCCAAAATGAACTGAAACACTAATGTCTATTTTTCATTTTAAAAAAAAGAGAGAGAAGGAAAAATCCAGTCATGAGAAGATTAACCTAGGATACTTACATAGAAAGGAACACGGTCAGAGTGTCTTAAAATATGTAGCAGCTTCTTCTTGTCACCATAACTTAAAAATACCTTTCATTCGGTGCATTATAGCTCTTAAAATCCAGATATGATGGAGATTTCCGTTCCCCAGTTGTAAATTAAGACATTGCATTTGAAGTTTAGAATTTAGTTGTCCCCTTTTAACATCAAGTAAAGTGGGATTAGATACTCCAGTGGGTGAATTCTTCCTTGTCGTTGACATAAACACTGTGGAAAGTTCCTCTGTTTCTTTAAGCAGTAGTTCTCGAAGCAAACTTCAAATTGTATTTGTCACAGTGGTCTAAAATGGTAATAAAATTGCTGAAAGCGTTTGCCCTACTCCTGAGAAATAGTTCACAAACTGAAGAAGAAAAACAAAAAAGCCTGTGAATCAGGCCAGTTTGTTCAAGGGGACGTAGAAAGGTACATGGAGGTGAAACATGACTTCACGCACCCTTTGTAATAAGAACTTTTAAACTTAAAACCCAGCATTGTGGATACTTTTCCTCGAATGTCCTGGACATTATTTTCCTTTCTTTCTTTTTGTGATGTTCTGATTGTGTGTTAGTTGCCAGTTCATTTTTGGTTTATGTCCACTTGTTCTGCATTTAGTGATACACACCTATAACCCCAGCACTGTTTGAGGCTAAAGCAGGAAGATCACAAAGGCCAGCCCAACCTGGGCAATTTAGCAATTTAGCAAGACTCTGTCTCAAAATTTAAAAGTTAAAAAAGAGGGTTAGGGATGTAGTTCAGTGTAAAAGCCCAGGATGCAATCCCAAGTATCACAAATAATAATAATAACAACAACAATAATAAAAACAATAATGAACCTGCTTGTGAGTACTGTGCAGTCAGGCTTGCAATATCTGTGCTTTTAAGAAAGCCTCATTTTAAAATGTTTTTAAGTGAAGTAAAGATAGATGCAATAAATGTCACAGGAACCCCACTTCTGGAAGGTTCCATGCAAGATGAGCCTAAAGGTAAGTTTACTGAGGTATTTCACTTCAGACTGTTCCAACAGCACTGTGGTTTGTTGCCACTTAAACTTCATGCATTTGAAAAACAAATTTTGATATGAAGCCAATGTGCAAAACTTGTACTGTGGTAACGGAAGGGCTGCTTCACTTCACTTGAGAATCGTGCCTGGGATTTGTTGAGTAGCACCATGGCCCTTGTGATCCACACTGGGCCTTGTCCAGCTTCCTGACATAGCTGGAGACATTTCACAACATGTCAGGCCTGTGTCTGTTCACTCCCAACAAAAATAAGCTGCTCTTTCCTGTGCCTCCATTGTTCTGCTCCCTTTGCTGTAGTGTTCGGGTCGGTCAGTGATAACCTGTTCTCCCTTTGGTGGAAACAGGAAGTTCTCCCCGGGCCAAGCCCAAATCTCCGCACAACGCTGAAGGACACAGCGAACACTTCCATCTCAGGGCTGTGTTCTCTGCAGAGCCCGCTTGGTGTGCATGTTTATGCCTCGCATCTCCTCTGTCCTTTCCGAGTGTCTGCAGCTTCTAGGCAGCCAGCCATGGGCCCCACTGCTAAAAAAGAACAAAAACCAAAGCTGCTCTGTCTTGGACTCTGCCGCCTTTCTCTAAATGCTACCTATGCAATACCACACTGAAGCAACACCAAAAAATTACGTGGTATGGAAAAATCTGGTAGCGAGAGGAGGTTCTTTTATTGCACACAGAGCTTTAACCAGTTCTTTGCATTGCTTTGAGAGAGCTGCGTAATTTTAATTTCTTAATGATTTCTACTTTTAGCTTTATATCATCTGTGAAGGAGAAAAATCACAGTTATAGTTTCTGACAATCAGTCCAGTCTGCAAGCCTGTTTGTGGACTAATATTTTTGGCTCTGCCGGTATGAATTACAAGCCGGTGGGATGTGCCGCAGGAATCAACTTTAAGGCCTGTGGAATATACTCCAAGGTGTTTGGAACCTTTTTCAAATTATTCTTATGGTGACAGTGAGAGACGTTAGACTCATACCAAGGTACCTCAGACCTTATCATCAGTGTCCCCTGCTGCTCAGCACAAAGGAACTCCACAAGTTGCCCCTGAGACACTCTTTCGCATGGACAAGCTCAAGTTTTCAGCATGACCTATGAGCCAGGGTGGTGTCGGTGGTAGGCAGCCTGCCAGTTTAAATTTGCAGTTTTCCTAGTGTGTCATTAACCATAATATCATTGTTCTCATCATGTCTTAAAAATAACCATCCAACCCATTTTTTAGCCAACTAGGACAATAGCTTCCCCATATCAAAGTCAGTGCTGGCCTACTGTGTGCCAGCCAACATATTAGGAGCTTTGCCAATGTTAGTTTAATCCACTTACAACCCAAAGAGGCCAACATGGTCCCCTTGCTGCAAGAGAATAAGGAGCTGAGCCCTCTCTCTGCTGTAACTCATCCAACAGCGAGTCTCAGCGGCATGTTCACACCCGGCTCTCCTCACCGCTGGCTTCCATTCCGTCCAATGTCCCAAGCCACCACCTCCTCATTTTAAGTAGAGTGTGACCCTCACCGATGGCCTGGCTTCTGTTTGCTCTTCAGCAGTTGTGTAGAGGCTTAGAACTCCAGCTCAGATCTGCTGATCTGCCTGACCCTTTCCTTAGGAAGGGACGTCGCCCATCCCGCTAAGGGAAGGTAGGGAGGGGGAAGTCCTGCTGGAAGGAGATGAAAGCATCAGCACCCTCACATTTCACACACCCGGCATTGGGTCAAGCCCTCTCTCCTCACCAGAGAACAGCCCACCTCCCTGTAGCCTTTCCTCACAGACTGCTTTCCGCCCACTGTTGCATGAACTTTTCTGAAGCTCTTTTCTGGGTCTTTTGAAATGTCAGGAATGCAACTGTCCATAGAAACCGTGGCACTGATCAGCTCCTGTCTGTTGGCAGGAAAAGAGCCACTTCTGAAAGAGCTCTCATTCTCCTAGACTTCTCCCAAGAATGTTTGTAACGGTGAACACTTCCTTCTCTGGTACTGAGCACCCCAGTACTGAGCACCCCAAACAAGGAAGGTGAATAGGATGGGCCCCTCCTCCAACGGACCATCTAGGCCCTTAGCTCATCTTTGAGGCAGCCATGTGGAAATAGTTACATTTTATCGGCTCTCGTCTTTGTTCACCTCCTTGCCTTATCTGTCCAGGGTCAGATAACCTTCAAACAGTCAGTAAAGCCAGCAGTGCTGTTGTGGTTATAACAGCAACTCAGTTTCATCAAAGCGCCCAGGAGCCAGGCCTGTGCGAGGAGCTCTGTGTGTCCTGGCCTGCGTCATTCCCGTGATGACCCTGCAAAGCAGGCTCATTTCACAACCGGGGAAGCAGACACCGCAAATACCAAAGGCAGACAGCCGGGACGGGGAGAGCAGCACTTCCCCTTCGGTCTGCCTCTCTCCGAAGCCTGGCGCAGCCGTGCTGGGTCTCTGCTGCTGCTGACTAATGACAACCCTGCGTGAAATTTCCTCCTCGGACAGCCCGAGTCCTGCCCTGTCCTGTGTGGACCCTAAAAATCAACATCGATCATCTCTCTTTCCAGACCTCATACTCCAACAGATCTTCTCTTAATTTCTCTAATCCGCAACACATAAAGTACTTCCTTGCCTGCACTCATAATCAGCTAAGCATGAGGCCTTTCACTTTCAGGAACAATGCTACCTCCATGCAAATGTTTTAAGAGTGAGCTGGAATCTTGGGAAATTTATTTGGCATATTTCCCCCAAAATGTTTAACTAAAAGGTTCAGAACTATCCTACTTGACCTTATCCCCAACAGTTTCTGGGCATATTTTCAGCTCTGTTGGAATCCATTTATTACATAGTTTATTCGTACACACTGATTCTTTCTCAAATGTTGATAGTTCCTATGAAAAGTACAATATGTGTTTTAAATGATAACATTTAATCAGAACTGTGGTTTCTATGTTTCTGTTTAGATAAGACGGGTTTAGTTTCATGTTGAAGGCCCATGCAATCAGATACAGCGCGAACACAGCCCCTTTTGAATGGTCATTTGAGGCCCTTTTAAAAAATTCAAAGAGTATAGGTGACTGTTTGTGTCTTTTCCTGTGCTCATGGTTAGTGACAAGGGGGAAGTGGATACAATGAATGTGTCTAGATAGAGTACCTTCAGTTAGCTCTTAAAATGCTGGGCAAAAAGTAAAATTTTAATGATTTCAGGATGACGAACAGCCTGTTGTGCCATGAAACGTATCAAGTAGAGGTGGACCAAGGTCAGAACTAGTCAAGGCAAGTAGGACTCACCTTGACCTTGAAGTGTGAGTCATAGCAGTGACGGGGGTAGGGGGCTCCTCAGGAATCTTAATAGTTGAAAATGGAGGACAGCAGCTATATCTGTAGTTCCTTCTTGTTTTTTCTTTAGAGACAGGGCCTT